GATGACTCTAGTTTTGGTGCAAAACAGGCTTTGATAAATTGAGAGGAATAACACGCCGTGGAACTACCTTTAGCTAAGGTTCCTTATGTTTATCCTTATCTGTCATACTTTTAATATTAAATATTGGAATAATTAAGACTAATATTTTTAATACACTTTTGTTATTATCCTTCATCTTTGACCTTAAATTGTGTTGATACATTTTTAAGTCGTTTTTTGTCCATAAGTGTATACCTAAATATGTTTTATCAGCTCCTTACTTAACATGCATGCCTGTAAGCCTTTATCTCCTTAATTTATCTACACAGCATATATTATAATAATTAGTGTCTTATGTTTTAACCTTGTTTATTTGTTTTCTCCCAATTCCTCTTCTCTATCTTAAGGTTGAGTCGTCACAGAGCATGATTCGCCTGGTTGGACTATCGGCCACATTGCCAAATTATGTTGATGTGGCCCGCTTTCTCTGTGTTAATCCTCAACGCGGTCTGTTTTATTTTGACGCTCGTTTCCGGCCCGTTCCACTTGGCATGACTTTCATCGGAGTGCTAGGAACCCGGCGCCAGGCAGAGGCCAATATGAACTTGGTCTGCTATGATCAGGTGGTTAAGCAGGTCAAGAATGGAGAGCAGGTATACACATCAATATCTGTTCTTGCTGGAGATTTATTAATTTCACTAGTTGCGATAAAATAAATTATTCCTTATGTCTCATACAAAATCACTTTGGCCTTGGAAGTACTTCTTGATTCTTTGGGTTTTTTTTAATATTCTGTAATGGTCATTTTATGGAAGAAACCTGAGTCTAATTAAGTGTATAGCCTGCTTCTGAGCTTTGTTTGATTCACATATTTGATATTTGTTTTTTCTCCTAAAAACTAGTTGCCGGCTCTAATTACGTCATGCTTTGATTTCTATTGCATATAATGTAGCTGCAACTTGCACATATTTATGCATATAGTTTAGTCTATGTTTTACTATCTCTTTTTATCAAATTACCTATATTTTAAGAACTTATTATTTTACTTTGGGCTTAATATTACATATAATCAGATCATCATCATTTTTTACTTCAGGTCACATTCTTGTTAATTTTAATTTGCAGGTCATGGTCTTTGTGCACGCTCGTGGCGATACTTACCGAACTGCTCGATGGCTCCGGGATATGGCAAATCAAAGGACTGAACAGCATTCCTTTCGACCTTCTTCATCTGCAGCCTACATGAACGCAATGAAACGGGTAGGATCATGTCCCTTTATGATAGCTTGAAGCATTGAAATGAAGTCTTTAACGGATACTGCCAGCAGAGATACTACACCTTAATTTCCGGCTATTACCATATGCAACCTTGCTATTTCATTCAAAACTATCTCACTGTTTAGTTATAATACTTTTACAAATGTTTTCATTTAAATTCTTTTTGGATTTAGCATTGATGGCTTTGGAGTGATTATAGACCAACAAGATTAAATATATCACACTTTACTTTTATTTGGTCCTATTCAGGATATTAACTATTTTGAGTATAACTAAATAATCGCTTGGAAATCTCTATGACCACTTTCACTGAGGTTATGACCATTTAATGCTCATAGTTTATGATGAGGTTATCAAGCTTTATCTTGCAAACCAAAAGCATTTTCATAGGTGAGGGGATCGAGATGTGCCCTTTTGGTTAGGTCTTTATCTTCTTAACCCTTATGGCTTTACCTCGTTTTCAAGCAGATATAGAAGACACTTTTCCATAACACATCCTCTCCCCTTATTGTCATGTATTTTTACAGCATCGGATCGTTGCTTGTGTACACTCTCAAGCATTTCTCCTCTATCATATTCAGCATTATCAATTAATAGCGCTCTCGTCAAGGCGTTACATGTGGGAAGAGAAATGCCCCAACCTAAACTTGGTTCTGGCGGTTGTTTTAATTTCTGGAATTTCTAACCTAGAATTTTGATTTCGAGAATGCGCCTAATCAACGTCAATTGCTATAGAACTGATGAAAACAATTTCAAAAGACACAGTACATGTTTCTTCCTCACATTCTCCTTTAAAGCACCGCTAAGTTATTAGTGCTGCCGGACGAGCCATTTTACCACCTATTTATCATTCTGATCCTGAGATCTCCCAGTTTTATCCTCTATATTGCAAATCCTATCTCCTCCATTTCCTTAGGTTTCCCGCTCCTCAGATCGCGTACTTAATGAACTGGCATCTGACGGTTTTGCTTGTCATCATGCTGGCATGCTACGCGCTGACCGTACTCTAGTTGAACATTTATTTGCACAAGGTCATGTTCGTGTGCTTTGCTGCACGGCCACTCTTGCTTGGGGTGTCAATCTTCCCGCTCACTGCGTCATTATTAAAGGAACTCGCGTCTATAATGCCGAAAAGGCTGACTTTGTCGACCTGGATATCCTCGATGTACTACAGGTATTAACAAGACACTTTAAAACCTTTTTTATCCTCTCCAAACTAGTGAAACAAGTTTATTTTAGAGGAGTCAGAAGTCGGCCCTAGTTACTCCTTCCAATAGTATTTCCCACATGCATGACATCCATACCTTTTAAGTTGTATTGTAATTCACCTTAAATCTTACAATTGCTTTCATCTGTGAAATCTTTACTAAGACCATTTTTTATTAATTTATTTGGTTTCATATAATCGGACCAACTAGCCACAGGCTTTGATATCTCCCTCAGGCTGGTGATGTTGGTGAGCCATTCCTACTGTGTCAAAGGTTTATCTCAATAGGATCGACAATTAGCATTCTCGTAAAGGAATTTCGTGAATATTATTTATGGTCTCGTTTTTACTGCTTGGTCGGAAATAAAAGAGACCCTGTAGAATGTTATCA